AATATATATATATATATATATATATATATATATATATATAATATACATATATATATCTATAATATATATATAGTAAATATATATATATATATATATATATATATTACATCTATAAAAAAGCAGCATTATTATTCGATGACTTCAAATGATCACCCTATGTGCCAGTTGGCTCACTATGCGTCAGGCAGTCTTGTAGTTGTCATCTCCTGTATCCGTCTTCTTTTCTTGGGCACGCATTCAAGTGCACTGTTTTGATTGTGTCTTATAACGTACCTTTAGGTCCAAATGGACAGAACAACACAAACTCTTCTCAGTCGAACACGCGTTTTATTCAGGTGAGTATATTATCTGGAGAGGATGCTGAATTCTGGTACAACTCCTTCAAAGAGTTATTCCAGGACACAGAAGAATCGGCCGATGGGGACGATTTGCTATTTTTTGTCACGCATCATGCGTTACAACAGAAACCGGAGGATCCGGATTCGAGGACTGATATTAATAACCGGCACGCTAGCACTAACAGTGCCCACAGTGAAGATGGTAATCAGAAGAGTGCTGAGGCATTCTTTGTACTTCGGCGAAGTTCAACCAAGGTGGGATTTAAGCATTCTATGTAATTATTAACGAAAATCTAATCTATATATCCTGACCTGTCTTTTAACGGATTGAATTAGATATGTATGTGTGGATGCATGCGATTTTCAGCAAGCGAGTTATGCCGCGGTCTGAGGTCTTGCCGGATGTACCGTTTTCAACGACATCGGGAAGGATATAACCTATTTTTCTACGTCCATTTTTGGTATTAGATCCCTGTAATGGAAGACCCTGCTGTAGATTGGGAGAGCACTTACTACCTCAACACGGTGCTGCACGGATTCCAATACACCTTGACGATAGTGATCGGTACTAGAGATGATACTAGCGGACACATAGTACCAGAAAATACAGTAAGCTATATTTATATATATATTTCAATTGTTGTACAACAATGCACCTGCGCTGTGTCATTTCATATTTCCTCAACAATATAAACAAGCTAGTACAAACCAGCACAGTTCCAGAGCGCCCGACAACACCAAATCCAACACGGCTTCATCACATACAGCGCTACACGTTTACACAGGGCATCGTATACTGCTTCCCATAACCGACATGTATATATAGATTGATCGAGTTTAGCAGGCAGGAGAGTACGATTCACGAACCCGTCACATCGCACACTCACAGCGCAATCAATTGATATATGTAGGAGTTCAAACAGTGGTAGAGTGTACACTACCTACCACTCTACGGGCATGCATGCTCACATATACACTATACCAACGATCCCAATTCAACACAATTTCGACACCCTCCAGTACTTACCCCCATCTGCACACACTCTAATTCTGTACCCGTCTGTTTGATATCTAGGTTAGCAGGAGAGTCTATCCCTCTCCTAGTCGCACCCGCATGGACCAGTCCAAAGGTACAGTGACGGAGATGACCTATCCGAGAATATTCTTCCCTGTGGACGATTTTGAAGACTTCTTTCAATCGGTGGTGTGCACGGTACGTAACTTGAAATATTGGGTTCTGGGTTAACGATTGAATTGCTTTGGACGAGTGAGAGTTTTTCTGGTCTGTGAGTACAAGATTCGGAGTCTTATGGTTTTTGAGTTGTACGATCCACAGGGTGATAAGTATTTTTTTGTCTCAAGTTGTTGGTTTGGATCATGTAGTCCCTGCCCATGTTCATAAAACATATCTATGCTGGCTACATCTCCATTTGTTGGTAAATTGCTGCACCTTCGATGTGCAATTAAACCTATTTTCTGCATTGTCTGTGGAACCTTCATGAAACCCCAGACAGAAGTCACTGTGTTATGGGTGTGCGGGGCGTGTTGGGGATGTCCGTACCTGACGAACCGCGTTTGCGTTGGCACCTTTTCATATTTCAGGTCATCTCGCAGTTATCGAATCGGAATCAATTCTAGACCAGTACAACTAGAATTCGCCAAACGAAAACATTGCAATATTTCAAAACTGCAGGTGTTCTGAGGTTGTTTAGCCTGATTGCAATATTACGTATACTATAGTTTGCCTGCCGCCGCTCTACCTGTGACGAACAAGAGACTTACCCCGACAAATAATCACCTAGAAGTTATAATTGAAATGATGTGTACTGTATGCTTCGGACCACAGGAAGGTGGGATTGTCTGCGTAGAGCTAACGGCCCAGTGTACAGAGTTTGTCACGTCTATCTTCCAGGGTTCAGTGCCGTATCCTCTACTTTTACAGGTAAAACGTCCGTTCTGTATCACTGCTGATGTATCATGCGTTCACATAGGTGATAAGTTTCTGTAATGCACGAAGGAGGTTAGAAGGCGTGTTGTACGTATATATATATCATTCCCCTTATTGATAGCAGGCACCTAGGTGGAGATCTTTTGTTATTAGATGGGTGTGCGCCAAGCATTCAAAATTGCTATTCGCATTACCTGGTTGGATTGACATCTATGATATCAGAGGTTGCTGCTAAACTGGAAGGCTGGTATTTGAGTATCGCGGTACAGGTTTCATCAGACTAGTACAGTACTATTGGCAAGGACAGGGTATTGAAGTTCTCTAGTTGTTCATCGTAGTCGCCTCGAAGAAATGTACTTTGCTGTGAATACAACAAACAAAATCATCTGGAAGCAAATCATATATGGCCAGCAACCCATGTGCATGACAATGCTGATCCATATCCTTATCTGATTAAATGTGTATTCGCTGACGTAAGCATTCGACAAGAGGGTGAACGTAAACCCAAAAGATCCTGATCTGTATCTCATTTAATGTGTATTCGCCGAAGTAGGCTTTCAACAAGAAGGTAAACGCCGCATCATGGAATCCGTTGGTGACCAAATCATGCGACTCAATGGAATTTCTCAAGATGAGAGGACCCAAGGGAGTGGGCCAGGCCGAAATGGCTGTATCCAGGGTGTCGGCAGAATACTCAGCGGATGGCCGAGCTTCCGACCCGCCAACAGTATGTTCTGTCTTGTTTTGTTGCATTTGGACTGACTGACTTGTGGTCGTGATGGAGGTGCCTGTGGGCTTCCCATCATTCCTCCTCTTCTCTTTTGATATAATCAGTAGATGGAGAAAGTTTATCTGAATACCATGTTGTCATAAAAGACTGAAGAGGAGACGCATTGCACTACACCCTCACCTTACAAGTACACTCAATACGCACAGTATCTTGAAGGCGTGTGTGCCGCCTTCTCCATATTTAAAATACCAACTTATCTCGCGCCTTCTGTGATTTGGTTTGAGTTTCCATCCGTGCATTCGCAATTTAAGCATTCTCTGAAATTTTACAGCCCGGGAAGAGCCAGGCTAACGGCGGCCTGAAGGGGTTCTTTGCCAGCACATTACGCGGATTAACCACGCCCCATCCTTCTGCACTCGAGCTGGAGGCTGCGCCCAACCTGAATGCATGTCTGACCTTTGTCAACATCCGCTTGAAACATCTTGTGGTGAATGTACTGGGTGCCAAACCGCACAAGCCGCTTTTAAAACCAGGTGTAATACCAGAAGACCGGGTTTGAAAAGAAGTAGTAAAGAGATAAGACTGAGAAATAAGCTTTTCCGTGCGTGTGGACTGAGGCGATAACATATGTGTAGCCACATGCCCAAGGCTGTGGCGACGCTCACATGAAGAAACCCATGCCCGGTAAGTCTCAGAAGTGCAATAGTGATGACAATACATACAAAGGTCACACTGAATGATTCTCTGGAGTACCGGAACCATCAAGTGAATACGGATGGCAGTGCTCTGCTGATTATCGTTCACATTTGACAGCGGAGGCAATTGAGGTCGTTGTCTGCAATCTAGGTACGGTGGAATCAGCCCTACTCATTGTCCACTCAAGGAGAGCGCACCACGTACCTGATGAGACACTTGCATCTTTCCCGAAGGAATCACAATCACTTCTGCTAAAAAGACATCGCACAGCTTATCTGAAGTAAGCCAACAATGGATCAGTCACCGATTTGCAACGGGGTGTGTTCGAATAGCGTTCTCTGTTTCGCTCGTTAAGATCCGGCAAGGGGAGAGTAGCAGAAACATATGTCGTCAAATGCGGCTTTCTACTGGCAGTCCTGGATGACAGCGCTATGAAACTATAGCAAAATCACATCGCATTCGGCGGTTGAGAGTAGGAATGTTCTGCGCAAGTTGCGAAGCCCCTGGGCTCATTTGCCGAGATGGTATGGGTCGTACATGGTTGTGCAAAGCAAGGAATAATCGAGCGTGTCAGAATCGGTAAGTCACTTCTGAGATGATATTGGCCGTAGAAAGCGCATCAAGAAGTGTGATGTTAAGAACGCAACCTAGCACAACGCTGATATAGCACGCAATCTGATATATGTCTACGTGGCAAACATACAACTGGACGCCTCATTCCAACTTAGGGTAGGTGCGGTGCGTAGCAAGCATCTCGGATCCCATTCGCGTCTATACCGAGCAATTCTAGCGACTGTTAACAACTCTAATAGCAAAACACGCTCACACGGAGTGATAGTTGAACTTTCGTGGTAGCTGGTGCTATCACTTGTTTTGCTGACTATCTAACACTTATCGAGCCAGTATAGATGTGATCTGCGTGTGTCGAGAGTGTTTCTTGTGGTAGCTAATATGGCAGAGCGAGCGCGATGGCGGGATTGGAATTCTGACCTCTCGCAAGGAAGCATCGTCCCATACCCTGCTAAGCGAGACAGCTGAATCGGCTGGAGCTCATGGCCACAGTAGATGCCCAAAATAGGGTAGGTATCGGGTGCCAATCAGTTCTATCTCCCAGATTGATTGCCCAGGAAGTACGCGGGCAGGATATAGACTTAGTAGATTTGTTCAGCGGACATAGGCACCTCGTATCTAATGCGTGCATTGCCGACGCAGGTCTTACTACATCACACAGCAGACTAAGGGGGCAGATACGCGATTGCCCGGGGCTGTGGGGTTTTAGAAGTGCATTGTAGAGGTGACCATGAGACGTCGAAACCTGGGTGATGTAAATGATCCTGAGTCACATACCGCGCCTATTTGTATTAGCAGCCATGCTATTGCAGGCCGCGTCATGGAATGCTGACATATTTACCATCTCAAAGGTGTACGGCAAAAGTGAACCGTGGAATCAAATTGACGTACATGGGTCGCCTCCAAGTTTCCTACACACCTCACCGTAACTAACTAGGCCATGAAATTTTCTGCAAGCATACAGAAGTGCATAGCCAGTTTTTGAGTTGGTACTGTCGAGCAGTCGACCAAGAATTTCTGGTAGAAGAATAAATTTCAACAACATATGTACATGGCAATGTTACAGTAGCATCAATAATTTGATAACGGACAAGCACAGATGCACGTAGTAGCTAGATTGCAATGCCTATATACACTCAATCATGGAAAAATTCATAAAATCAGAATAAATCGAGAGCAAGCACAAGCTAGTAGATGTAAATCGACCCAAATGGCTGATGAACACATTCCTTGCACCGATATTTAAAGCGAATCTCAACGAATATGCTTGGGTGGAAACTATGGCAACATTGTCATATTGTGATATACGGATCGGAAGTGTTCTATGGCTTGATTCAACTTGCATCTATATAAATGAAAACATTGGGGCGACAGTAAGCTTCGAACGAACATTCGTTTTGCTCTCCAACATTATAGGAAGACACAAGGATTGATAAATAATATATCTTCATGTTTATTAGCCGGATGCTGTCTCCTTCTTAATTAGCATGACGAGGGGGGATCGGTCGGCATCATAAACTTCAATTCTCAGTTGATAAGTGGCACAGGCCACACGAAATTTACAGTCTAAACACTGAGTGACAACGCATTACATTCTGGGTCGAGGAAAGCTTAAATTGAGGAACAGAGTGTACGACGTGTGCATATTAGCTACGTACACAGCATAGGCAAATTCAACCCCTTGGAGAGTTCAGGAAATTGGGTCCAGAATTCGCTTCGCCCATGCCCACACCTACAGCCGCCGGCATGAACACATTTGTCGCTTGTCCATTCTCCGTCCCTCCACCGTACATCAGCATAGAACCATCCGACTGGGACCCTGCTGGGAGGGTGAGATGCGTGAGCGTGTACTCCAGTTGGTCTGGCTGCTTCGCCTGTCCGTGGCTTTCTGTAGCCTTGTTCTGTATGGAGATTACCCCAAGTGTATTCCCACTCGCGTTCGAGGACATACTTGTTGTCCCATTGGCAGCTGAAATGCTGCTATTCATAGGCCCAGCCCCGCGTTCATCCTTACTTTGACCTTGATCACCAGAACCCTTTCCGTTGCGCTCGTCATTAGCAGTCTTTTTCGTGCGCTTGCTAGTAGCTGCCGGTGGATACGACGATGCTCCGGCCCCATCCGGGACCACACCGTTCTCCTTCTGCTGTAAGGCTAACAAAGCGTCCTCGGCTTTCCGTTTCTTGTTCAAATGTATCTGCTCGTGTCTCCGCAGCGTTGTGAGATCAGCGAATCGTTTGGTACAATTGGGCGTTTTGCACTGGAAGGGCTTTTCGCCAGTGTGTGTACGGTTGTGGTTGTTCAGCTGACTCGATGTTGTGAAGGCCTTAACACAGCCCTCATACTGGCACTTAAAAGGCTTGATGCCAGAATGTATACGCGCATGCCTTACCAGATCACTCGAAGTCGCAAAGCTCTTTCCGCACCCGTCATGTTTGCAGGCATAGGGCCTTTCGCCAGTATGCGTACGCATGTGAGCCGTCAAATTTGACAGCCCCGAGAAACCCTTGCCACACTCGGAACAAACACGTGGCTTTTCTCCGGTATGCGATCGGGTGTGAGCTAACAAACAATTGGCGTACGCAAATCGTTTCGTACATCCTGCAACAGTACACTTGAAGGGCCGCTCACCCGTATGCAGTCGTGTGTGTGCAGCCAAGCAGTTTGCCTGAGTAAACGTCTGTCCGCACCCAGGGTGCCTACAGGCGAAGGGCTTTTCTCTAGTATGGGTTTGCAGATGTCTCAAGTACTGTTGTACGATGGGGAATGGCTTGTTGCCCCTCTTACACCCTAACCACTGGCACGAGAAGGTCGCAGGCATAGGCTTGGTGTTCAGATCCACCACGTGCATACTCTTGATGTGCAGCGCCAGATCAGCCGGCGTGTAAGGCGTGGCATCGCGACAGTCTCGCCAATGACACAGCAGCAACCCCTCGCCAAGCTTTGCCATCTCCGCATTAGCGCTCGCCACCAACGCATTCGAAGGCCCTTTCAGCGCGGTGAACGACTTTGCGGTCGTACTCGGGCCAGTACCATTTGCAGCGGTATCTGCTGCCTTGTCAGTCGTACTAGTCTGTTCAGTACCATTTCTGGTTGTGGCGCCTTGAACACTATCGACACTCGGCCGCTGATTGCTATCCGATGTCATCTGCAGACTAGACGACACGACAGCGCCATGGTTGAACCCATTCTCGTGTCCATTTGAAGCCTTGGATAGCGACGTCTGCACAGGTATTGCAGGTATTGGGGGCGAGAAAACACCGCCAAACGGCTGTGCACTCGTATTGAAGATTTGAAAACTATTCCGATCTCCGTTACTCATGTTGCCTAGACTATTGGAATTCTCTAAGTTTGCTTCAAAGCCGGTATGTGCAGGATGAGGAGAAGGTGTCCGAGTGTGCGCCAAACTCCCGAACCCACTGTGATTCTGACTCCCATCAGTACCGCCCATGACCTGCAACCCCATAGACCGCTGCTGATTGGCCCAAATAGACTGAAACTGTGCCTGTGCGTGAGCATGTGCTGCCTGTGCATTTGCATGCGCTTGTGCCTGAGCTTGAGCATCGCGCAGTTGTTGCTGTTGTGCGCCATGGAACGAGCTAATTACAGAGGAATTGCTCCCCCTTGGTGGAACAGAACTAGCCCCAAAAAAACTGGGCAGGGCAGGCAGGCTCGAGCCTGTTATTCCGGACACGTGCGGCAACGAGTGTCCAAAAGTGTACGACTTGCCCAGATATCCAGCCGGTTGTGCCGCTGTATTGGTACTTGGGCCTGACAATTGATTCATATTTCCCGCACTGGTGAGCGAATTAAGACTATCGCTATTCCCCATCCCATTAGTACCCATAGAACTGAGTGAACCAAATCCGTACGATCCAAGTGCCTGCTGCGTGACCTGGTTGAGTGTAGCGGCCGCGGCTGCCGCCTGCGAGGGTGTGGGCCCCGTGAATGATAGGGGACTGTTGCTGGGTGGTTGGTTGTAGTCACCCAGCCCTAAAAATAGATTGTTATTATTCGTGCTGGAATTCGGCGCTGGCAGCATCCACGAGGGTGTGCTCATCAAGTTACTGTTGTTCCCCGAAGCACTGTTCATCAAGTTACTGCTGCTACCCGACGCACTGTTCATCAAAGTACTGTTGTTACACGAAGAATTTTTCATCAAGGTAGTAGTGTTATTACCCGAATTATTGCTCTGAGTTTGCTGTTGCTGCTGTTGCTGCTGCTGAGGTTGTTGTTGTTGCTGTGTTGGTGTTTGATGAGATTGCTGCAATGATATTGTTTCTGTCCCTTGCTGCGATTGTGCTGACGGTAGCGATTGTGACTTGCTTTGGGCCTCAATGTGCTGTTTCTGCAACTGGGCCATCTGAGCTCTGTGCGCTTGAAAGCGTAACTGATTCTCCATCTGCTGTGCTTGTTGCAGTTGAAGTATCTGTGTTTGCTCTATGAGAGAGTTCATAAATGTCGAGTTCATACCTATCGGCGGTAACTGAGACGCAAACGGATAGTGCCGGTCAACACTAGGTGCGGGCAAGAACGTACTACTTCCCCATGAATCTTGGGAGTTTGTGCCATTTCCCACGCCAACGCCCATATCCACACCTCCCATTGTGAGGTCACTTGGACTGTTATGAGCACCCAATCCCGGCAATTGCGGCATCATAAGACCCGGTATATTCAGCCCAGTTGCTGCTGGCTCTACCGTACTACTGGACAGCGTGCTTCCCGATGAACCCACATTTCCTTGGGTATCCTGCTGTGAGTGGCTACGTAGCTGTGCTTGTGTCTGAGCGGCCTGCTGTTGTGCGTGCAATTGTGCCACTGCTTGCAAGCGAGCAGCCGCGGAGAAGGCCTGCATGTGTGCATGGGCCTGAGCCTGCACGCGTGCGTTGCTCTCGTTCGAAGGTGGCTGATGTAGTGTGTTCAAGTACGACGGGGCGGAGAGGCCAACAGCCGCAGGTACATTATTTGCTATCTCGGGCACGCTTGCAGGCACGTGTCCAATTGTTGCCGTGTCCTTTCCACTCGGCTGTGTGTCCGGTGCACTCGTTCGGATCTCAGGTCGAGAATACATCTGCTGCAAACTCGCGCGTGTGCGAGCCTGAATGTATGCTTGTGTGGCTGCGGCAGTCCAGGCGTCGATCTGAGCCTGTTTCTTGCTCGCAGCCTGTGCCAATGATTCAGCCGTATCTTCTGGCTCCTCAGCTGCTTTGTCGGTGCCAGTTACGGCGCTCGCATCGAGTTTCTCGCATGTGTTTGTCTCAGAGATATTAGTCACGCCAGGTCCAGGACTATCACTGTTTACTACTATGCCAGTGTATTTAGAGCTCTCCACTGTTGTACCACCATCCACTGCTTCAACAGCTTCCACTGCATCCTCTAACACCAAGGTTTGTGTATTTTTTGCAGTAACCTCTAATGCCCCCGGACTCGATGTTCCGTCTACCGACGACTGCGTGTGTGCGTTTGCAATTGTAGCTATGGGTTCATGCACGTCGCCGTCAGCGACTAACCTTACCGGTGCAATTGTCAACAGACTATCGTGTGAAGGCGTGTCGCATGCCGTCCTCATAGTAGGACTGCTCATGTGTGAATCCAGCGAGCCTAACCTATTATCGGGTGCCTTTGTGTGCACCTCTGCCACATTATCCAGGCCTGCCATCATGGTCTCGGGCCCGAAGCGTTCTTGCATGTATGTGCGTGCGTCTGTTTCACTCGCCTGAGTGTTACTTAAACCTATATCTGTACCATTGGCACCTGTTGCCATGTCTTTGCATACCTCGGGGCCGACTTCGCCAGTCTCCTTTGCACTATCACTTTCGTGTGCAGTCGTTGGTGATGTCGATGTGTCTGCATCTGTAACCCCAGAAGATGCTCCGAACTGCAACCCTCCCGTAAGCAAGGACGTTGACTTGGGGACATCAGTGCGCACTAAGTGAGATGTAGGTTGTGCCATACTTCGATCTATATTAA